TATATCTGACTATATATAACAAATATACATATCCAGTAATATATATACATACATATATATATATGGTAACCCTATAGTTATTATTCGTTTTGTTAGGCTGTGTTAAGTAATAATTTAAGTCGTGTTGAATAAGGTTTAGTTATACGCTAAGCTTTTATTTAGAATAATTTTGTATTTGCATAGAAATAAGATATTAGTTTAGAAGCAGTTATTAAGATTTATTTAAGATCCTTTCTGAAATGGCTGTAGAAATTTTAAACATAAATGGTGCTATTGTGCTGCATACTGCAATACTAATTATTGGTGACCAAGCTTGCATTTTTTAATAATGATATATACTTATGAGTTTTCTCTCTTATTCCACGACAGAGATGGAAATAATTTTAATAATACGGTCTACTATCCGGAAATATCCTCTTATATTTACTCTGTTTAGAGAGATTTAATGGCTGGCAGTCAGATTCTAAATTATTTTCAAAACTCGGTATCGCGGAAATCTCTTGAAAATAGTTACAATTAAAATCACAGTACTCCCATGTTGGCAACGGCACGGGCAACAGTTAGACAAAGAAAAAACTTGGTTCATGTGTTGTTTAAAACTAATTAAGGCGTTGGGATTAAAGGTGATGTTGAAGAAATAGAATGTTTAAATGCAGTTGTACTGTGCATTTAGCTTAGTTACCATAATGTTTATAATGTTGTTGTACCGGATAATTTCAAAAGGTGACCAAGCTAGTCACCATAGGAGGCTGTCATGCAATTAAAAGTAAGCAACTTAATATTGATAATAATTATTAGAAAATTACAAGAAATTAATGAATTCCCAACATTTAAAAAATATGGCAATGCAGCAAGATCATTAACACTAGATCGTTTTCGGTGACGTGGAAACTCTTCTAAACTCCAGGTCTGCGCATGAAATGCATTTTTACTTCATATGAGGAAAAATCTAACCTATGGACATTTGTTCAGCAATGTTTGACAATAGATGAGTGGTAGATTTCTTGATTCTAGACGTAATTTTAATATTCTTTGATGTTTAATTAGGTACTTGTAACTCAAAAAGAAGTGAAGTGTTTATATCTAACCACGTGTATACAGCTAGATGTAATTGGATACCAGTGAGCAACATCGCACGTGTTTGTCGAACCTGATTGACTTCTGGATAAGGTGTTAATTGCTTCAATTATTTGATTTAGTGGATTACAAAGGAAACGGTGTAGTAGAGGCGAAACAACAAAGAGTTTTTGTTGTACAGAGGTTAACCAACCGTACAGGTTTTAAGGAAAAACTTTATTATTTGTGATTTTTATAAGTTGTTTTTAACGACATTTTAATTGTGAGATGATTTTTTTCAACAAAATGAAACAGTGAATTTCTGTCTGAAATTATTGGTATTTCGAATATTTTAATCATTTCTTTCAGACTATTTGTTAGTATAGGTTTTGTTAGTAAATAATGATTCGTTGTTAATTAGTAAAATTGATAGGAATTGCGAGATGATTCATCGGATAAAGATATATATATTTAATTGGATAAAGATATTTTTTTTAACTCGAATTGTTCGTAATTCAAAGATTTTAACCTCTTTCTTCAAATTCGCTACATAAAAGTTTGACTGAAATTCTTGTTAAATAATGAAAATTATGAATGATTTTTTTTTTATTTGAAAAAATTATAGTCAGGGTTAGTAAACATTTTATCATTGGGATAACTCTGTAACAGAAAATTAATACACTCATCAATTGAAAAACGGTAATATGCTCTAAATATACCTGGAGATAAGATGCCCGACTCAGGCTTACTTTTTGACGCAGTTTACACTTATACACTTAACCAAACCATGATACATCCTTCATTATATTTCACGCCAAAAATTGCAAATAAAGTTATAAGTACATGTTATGCATCCACGAATTCAATCTAAAGATATCAAGCTCCGTTTTGTACGAACTTCGAAATGGTTATGCCCATTAAATTGTAAAGTTCGAATTGTTTTGATTGTGACATAGTATAACTTTACGGACGAAAGAAAAGGGCGGGTTATTTTAATCAGGGGATGTTAATATATATTGTAAATAAATATAGAGAGACTTTTAAAATTTCTCCTTATGATTCCTTTCTTTTTTCTTTCGAATATGCTTTTAAAGTGAACATCTATGTTCAGCAAAATGTCAATTTCGTCATTTGAGAAATTTTTTTTTTTGAATATGCTTTTAAAGTGAACATCTATGTTCAGCAAAATGCTAATTTCGTCATATGAGAAAAAGAGTGGGTCCATACTCTTAAAATATAAAATTTAAACAACACAGCTAAAGTTTGTAATGACTTTCCAATTTACAAATTTTAAATTTGCGTCCGAGAAACGAATGTTAACTAGCTTACAT